ACCGGTCTTTGAAGGCCTAGCGGCAGCATTCATGGTGGTATTCGGAATCAGCATCGTCGACTACCTATAGTCCAGTCGGTTTCGTTGAAAAAGCGATTTATCAGTTGGGGATCATTCCTCGTAAGTTCTTCTAATAAAAATTATGCCATTTCACTAAAGCAAATGTTCTGTTAAATCTAACTTAAAACCGTGTACCGTAGCTTTTTGATATGTTTCTTTATTGAATGAAAACAACAAATTGTAAAGAAAGCCAGAACAAAAAGATCACATACTGATCAGAAAATAGCCAAGGAGATTGAGAAATAATAACAACAAAAAAATATTCAGAAATTGATCATCTGTGCATGTACACATTCTCATTTTCAATTAAATAACAAAAAAAATTGTGAGATTACTCTCTCTCTCTCTCTCTCTCTTAACTCTAACCAAAAAAGAAAAAGATTGCATGGAAAATAGATAGAAAATAATAATAATAATTTTTTATTTTTATAAAACAAAAAAACCAAAATTCATTTTGTTTTAAGATGTAGAAAAAACATTGAAGAAAAAAAACTAACTTTTTCTTGACTAATAAATTGAATTTTTTTGGTAAAATAAGAAAGAAGGAGGTTTATCATAAAAAAAACAACACAACACAAGATAAAAATAAATAAATAAATAAATTATTCACCATCTGATCCATAATAATTTTTTTGATCTGATGGTGGTAAAAGAATATATTGTGACATTGTTGTGGGCTGTTTAACAGAACGTTTTGAAATAATTTGAAAGGGGCCGTGATATTGGCACCAATGATCAGCCGCCTTTTGTTCCAAAATACTCAGCATATTTACAATTGCTTGTAATGAATTTAAAATACATACAGGTGACATTTGTTCTACTTCTAAACACAAAAAAAAACAACATAAACTTGCTAAAAATGGTAGAAGAAAATTTATATAATAAACGCTTTTTAAAGAAAACTTCGATTATTGCCTGCATAGTTTCTCTCTTCTAGGATAATGTTTTTATTAGACACAAAAATCAACTAACTCATCAAAAATATGATTTTCCTAATACTTGTTTGAAAAAAAAAAACAGTCACGAACTAAACAATCTATATACCTGAATAGGCTTTAAATGCTTCCATTTCTTCGCAAAATTTATCCAAATCAAATGGATCATAGGCTCGTTGTTGGGCAGCAAATAAATCCTGAATGCACATTGATAATGAATAATTTGAATACCAATTTTCTACGAACGACTGAACATGTTCAACTAATGAATCATTACCACATAATAATAATGAATATTCTTCCGGTTCAAAATGAAAGCCTAGATAGGAACAGAAATATGAGATAAAAAATTCTTTCTTTCTAGTTTAAGAACATGAGTACGAACCTTCGATTAATAATAATCGAACTAATGTTATATCATGTTTTAAACAAAATTCTTCTAGAGTATCAACACCCTCAAACATTGTTACAAATACCGTTGAATTCTCATGATATTTCTAGAAATGATATAAAATGAAAGATGTTTGTTGAACTGAAAATATACAAGATTTTTTAAAACTTACTCTAAGACATTTTGCTTTGATAAATAATCGTATTAATCGATTCATATATTTTCGATTAAAGTCTTCTCGTCCACAACGATCAATCAATTCATCAAGTAATTCATTGTATTCATAGGCCGATTTTAAATTGAAACATTCCATTGTTTGGTTAATTACAAGTCGATGAGTATCTAAACAAGACAAAGTCAAATGAGTAACAAAAAGTAAGCACTTTTCTACTTCTACCATAGCCAAGATAACACATTCGATTTTTCCACAATATGGACCATATATTTGGACAAACATCATTTGCAGGTAACTGTAATTTTACCTGCGAAATAAACCAAGCAAGGTCTGTTTTATCAAAGCTTTTTGACTAAAGACCACTCACCAATCGTATACCCAAGAATATAGCTATATCTGTCAAATAACTTGTACAATAATCGATTGCTTCTGATGATGCATCATTATCACCAAATATATCCAATAATTCAACTTTCACTGGCAATGACCATGTGCCTAGAGAATAAAATACATTGTAAAATGATTAAATAGGCTTTTTTATGATGACATCAGTTGTGGTGTGGATTTAGGATTTTCTTTTTCAGGTGAAGGATTTTTTTTTGAGAAGAATGTTAAAAAAAATTTTTTCACAATGATCACGTGATAGTTGTTTTTCATATCATCGAAACAAAAAGATAAAGTTGGTTTTGAGTTGCTAAAGAGTACTTTTCGTATTCAGCATATTCGATAACCCAGAAAATTTTCTATTTTTGGCGAGAGATACTTCCAAAAGCTTAGGAAAAAATTTTAAATTAATATTATTTTCTCATGGAACTTTTTTTGCACCATATTGTTTCAAAATTTTTCCTAAACTTTTGAAAATACCCCTCGCCAAAAATAGAAAATTTTCCAGGTTGTCGAGTATGCTGAATACGAAAAAACACTTTTCAACAACTCAAAACCAACTTAATTTTTTTGTTTTGGTGATATCAATAATCATTTTTTTTTAATAGGAGTGGATGCTCGAAATTTAGTCGAATGAAGAAGAATGATCGCCGATGGGCTAATGGTCATCGATGTCCTTTTCCTAAAATCATTACTACTTAACATAAATTTTCTGTCACATTGAGTTTAGTTTGATCGAAATGTACTTACTTGCTTTTAATAAATCAATTAATCGATTTGTTAATGTTGTTATAGCTTTTGCGGTTGTATTACTTTTATCTTTTGTTGATGGTGGTAGTTTTTCCAATAAAGAAAATGGAATGGGTGATAATGAGGTTGACGGCACTGATTGTGCTTGTGGTTGTGGTTGTGGTTGTGGTTGTTCTTCCTGATGCTGTTGTTGATGTTTTACAAATGATACAGGTGATGCTGGTACTGATGACATTAATTGATTTGTTTGAATAAAAAATGGTATTGGTGATTGTGGTGTTGCTGTATGGTTAATAAAATGTGGTGGTAATGGTGATGAAACTGCAATTGTTCGATTTGTATTTATAGCACAAAAAGTGGCTGTCGCTGGAGCAGAAATTTGTGGTGTCATGACAGTTGAAGCTGCCGTCATGAGTGCTGTACACTGTGTTTGTGGAAAATGTTGTTGTGAGAGAGGTGACATTGAAACAGATGACTGATGCTGTTGTAAATGTGCACAATTATGATGCTGTTGTGGATAATATTGGCAAGGATTTATAGCCATTGTCTGCTGTAACATTGATTCTGGTAGTGTGATTAAAAATGTTTGCATACCAGTCATCGGACTCGTGGGAATCATTGGACTTGCTGGAATCAAACGTACTGGACTCGGCATGGCATGCATTGAATACATTTTTATTTGATTATTTTTAACTAAAGGTAAAAATAAAGCTGGACTAGTAAGAGCAGAAGACAAATTTTGACAATTCGCTACACCACTATTGCTTTAATTAGAGTAGCTAAACTATCTTTAGCACAATATTTATTCTTGCAATCATAACGATGATATAGAAGACAGGCGGTTTGAAAACTATAAGATGACTGATACGCAGACGCTAAATCTGAGACAGAAGCTGTTCACCACAAGATTTAACCACAATTCTTATTCCGTGTTTTTCAAATTCAAGAAAATGAGGACGATCAATAAAGTTAAGAACATTTGTTCTCTGCAATGAGAACCTCAAACTCGAATTTTGCTTAAATTTTTAGAACCAGTTCACAAGAAGGTAAAAGAAGCCATCTACTGTTTTTTTACGATCAAATCTAAATATAGTTCATGTTTTCTTAAAATTGTTGCCGAACAGTGGAATTTCACCAATAATGAGAAGAAGTACCATAAGGATAAATCTCTTATATTATCTTTATCTTGTATTGGCACCGTTTCAAAATCTCTCAAAAAAATATTTCTAATTTATTATTTTATATCTTTGTTGAGTTTCTAATTAAAACTAAAATGTACGAACCTTTGCAACTTTTGTTCGATAAAAGCCTAGCACAAGTCAATTTTGAATTCGCTCAGTATCTATGTGTGTGTATGTATGTACAAACTTGTATTTTTTTGATGAACTTTATTTATATAGTTCGCGAATGACCTGAAGTCGAATAAGACTAAGAAAAAGAGAGTGCCCATTTTTCTTCGCTATTATAAAAGAGAAAAGGAACTTGCTGTACAGTATGTCTTTGTCTTTGAAGAAAGAGATATAGATTTATAGTCCGATTTCGATATCTGCCGCCATTTTTTTTCCCCTTGTACAAATATAAGACAAGCCAAGAACCAAGAAAGGCGAGCTAACGAATCAATCTACAGGTGACATGCGTGTAAACACCAAAGGAATGTGAAAGGACTATGTCCAGAGTATCTGCAAAAAGCAGAGAATATCTGCAAAGCTGTGGATTACTCAGAAGAACTGGAGTTGAAAGTAAGCAAGAACCGCGTTTTTTGACCGAAACTTGAAGTTTTATAATGTCCGAGATTAAAATCACTGAAAAAGAACTTCCAATGTAGTACTGAACTAGAAGAAGAGTTTATAAAGTAAATTTATAATTACAATTAGGCTACAGTAAATTAGGATGAAAGAGTGTCTCAATTTTTCAAAGAACTGTCTGGTTCTCTCCAAATGATAATAAATTACTAGAAGTATTTCCGCGAGATTAATTAATCACGATAGAAACTTTTCTAGTCTCATTGTATTCAAGAGGCTTAACCAGAGTTTTGCATACTTTTTATCAATTTTATTCAAAATAAATTTCGTTAAATATGCAGTCACACACAAAATTACCATTGCACAAATGAGCTGACACCAAAACAACACATTTTCGTTTCCAGTCTGAAATCAGCTGAATCATAAATGTTCAACTAAAATTATTATAATCAATCTAATAGTTTCATAACAGTTGCTTTTTCTTTACCATTGTTGAATATAATCTAAGGACTGAGATGAACCGAGATAGAATTGAAAATAGAAAATTAATTCTCTCTCCTTAGGATACACTTACTGAAAATCGTTTGTGTAGTTTGGCACCTTGAGTTGGTCTTTTAGTAGATGGTGGTCGTACACAGCTGAAGTAGAAAAGAACACAATTTTGCACATCGAAAAAATAATCCATTTTAGACAGATTTGAATCGAATTAATGAGATTTTAGAGAAATTGTTTCTATATACAATTCATTTTTAATTCTTACCTGTAAATATCTCGTTCTCTTGAATATAAACTCATATCACTATTTCCTACCATTGTACGACGTAATGGATTAAAATGGCGTGGAACGGGAATATCATCTTGCTTCAATTCACCAGTTGGAATATAATGAGGTTGATATTTTGGTTGTTGAACCTAAATGAAAAAATATTCTCTAGAGAAATATGATGATAAAAAAATATATTTAAAATACGTAGATCTCATTTCTAATTTGTAGTGGTACCCAATATATCTTGTTACAAAAAAAAAAAGTGTTCGTTCTCTTTCAACTGTAGAAACATGGCCATGTTTCTGGACTATTTTATTTTTAATTAATTTACCTGTTTTTTCATACCAAGCGCTTGCCGTTTTTCGACAACACGTTGCTTTCTTAGTGCTTCGTAAAATTGTGCTTCTAAACTCATTTTTCTTATTACGTGAATTGATTTAACTGTTGTGTTATGGTCTTTGCAATTAACCTATCTCTTTCTCTCTCTATATATATATATAACTTATATATATATATATAAATTAACTCTGAAATAGAAGACATAAAGATCAATAACAAGTGAACAACATTTTATTTTTCTCACAAAAACAGAGTGAAAACAAATTTCATCAAGTAGCAACAATAAATATATCAACATCTGTCACTCTTTGTTACGTCTGGTTAAAAAAAATATTTAACTCAAGACGGTGTTGCCATTTTTCTTTTTGTCAATTTAAATTATTGTCATACAAAAATCGATTTGATAGACAATTTAAAATACTTTTTGTTTTCATATAAAAAAAAAGAAAATTACATACCTAGTAAGAAAAAAGGTAGACAATATTCTTCGACCTCTTCAATAATTGATGTGGAAAAAATACATCTAAGTTTGTTCTTTGTCGCTTTTTCTCTAATGTTTGATTTTTATATCCTTTCAGAATTGTGATCAAAAATACTTTTTTTTTTCTTTTTAACAATAATAACTTTTAAAAACATAAGTGGAAAGAAATGGTATCCCATACGTAGAGAAAAAGTTCTGTTCATTCTAAAATATTGAAAATAGTGGCAAGTCTATATGACATTAAATAAACAGCTGTCGATTTTTTTTTCTCCGTTGATGAATTCAATTTAATGGGTTGTCATTCGAAATAAAATGCAAGAAGGTTCATTAAAAATTTTGTTTCCTATTTGATATGAGAAAATATTGAACGCTCTTTTCAATTAGGCATACACTGAGTAATTGACTAAGAATTTCATATTTTTCAAAAGCCTGGCGTTTCATAAATTGCTTCGTTCAAAATTTTCTGACTCGATAAGAAGGTAGAGCAAATATTTCTCTACAAAATAAGATGTTGGACAGCTCTGTACGATTTGTTTTGACTTTTCAGCAGCGATACTTCGAGAACGCACAATCGAGTAGTAAACGAGTATCGAGTACTCGACGAGTACTCGATAAACTTCTTTTATTTTTATTTTTTTTTTTTTTATTAACGAAGCAATTTACGAAACGCCAGGCTTTTGAAAAATATGAAATCCTTAGTCAATTACTCGGTGCATGCCTATTTTCAATGAGAAAATAAAGAAAAATTTTGTCAAATTATTATGTTAAGAGTATCTGTGACTAGCGTCGAAAAATTTCCTACTACATGTTATCAGCATGTTTAATTATTTTAATCATCATATTTTTATTTAATCATTAGTGTCAGTATAAAAAAGAAAATATTTTCAAAATACTGACGAAAAAAGTATATCATCAAAACAGATAGTAAAAATAATAAAATTATGATCCTATTCATTTTCACCGAACATAAAAAAATATGTTTCAAAGCCATAAGCTATTTGTAATATAAATATAATATTTCATCACGCAATTGAACAATAAAATCACATTTTTTTAATTCATTTGTTAAACACTCATATATCTCTTTTCTTGTTCGATATGATGTAGTATAAATTTGACGGTAACGTTGAACAATCTAAAGAAAACAAATAAAATAAATTAACAGCATCTATCAATAACACAATCGTTTTCTTATCTTCTTCTTCAATTTATCGTACGAAATTGTATCTATTTGTTTCAATGCATTTTTAATTTCATTTGGCCAATTAAACAGATTATTATCATCGTTCAAATCCATATCTTTGAAGCAAAACAAAAAGGGATCTGGACATGTGATCAAAATGAAGGTCTCTATTTTTCAGTTATTTATTCTGGTCTATTTTATTTCACTAAAATCAGACAAATTTTTGGTGAGAAGCATAATGGCAGGCGTTTTTACAATATTCTCAAGTTCATAAACTCAAATACAGGTTCAAGTCATTCACCTTCATATATATGCAAAACATGAAGCAGTGTTGACAAGACGAGATTCAAGCGTGAGCATATTCAAAAATTCGAAAAAAAGAACCAAAAGTGTTTTAGAAAGTGATTGAACAAACAAAAACAACCTCTCTTCAGTTTGTTAGCTTTAGGCTAGCAAGTAAATTCATGGCAATTAGGTGTTCGTTCGATGCAGTCCATGCTACAATTATTAATAATTAGATTTTCAATATAGACAAAGTGATGTTCTAAAGTTTCTATAGGTCTTGTTTGGTGATATTTGTTTCCTCTCTCTCTCTCTCTCTCTCGTACATACATCGTGGATGGCACCGGCACCCACCTTCTGATGAAATCAGAAACTTATTTTCTTAAGGCGCCCCAAATTCAAACATCGAGTAATATTTTATTTTTGGCTTAATTGTACATCGTGCGATAGAGAAGATCATGCTGATCACAAATATCTAGGTTTTAGCCTTCCCGGTATACGTTTTTTATGAAAAAATTTCAAAAAACTTGAAGAATCTGTTTTTTCGAAAAAAGTGAAAATCAACTAAAAATTTCGAAGTACATATTAGTCTAGTCAGTTTTTGATCCTGATTCCGTATATAATATTTTTATTACATAAAAGGTGAATCCTGATTGAGAAAATTGAGAATTACGAACAGAATTCTGACTTTTTCGCCTCAGATTTAGAAGAAATGAATTTTCTCAGCAATGAAAAGGAATTTTAAAAAAGCGGTTTATACTCATGGCATCAAAATCGTCTAACTTTTGCCGGTTAATCGCGATTTTAAATAAAAATGGCAATTAATGACGATTTTTCTGCTGAGTTTCCATAGTGACGAACCAAAAAACTCGCCGATTAATTGCGTTAAATCGGTGTTCTTTTTGGCTTGTAAAGTATACTTTTATTCTACATTTCAAGGCGAATCAAATGGTGTGTGAAACCTGGCTTCATCTCTTAACGAAAAAAAGTATATAGGATTGCAAAATGAGTATGGTGAAATACTCGATGTTTGAATTTAGAGCGCCTTACTTTTTGACATTTTGTGACAGTCTCGTAAATCTCATCCTAGGTGGCACATTTTTCACTCTCTTCATGTACGACTAAAACGTTAGTGTTTGGTAATTGTATCCTTAGTTGATCATTGCTTAAGATTCATACTTCCAGCAGTCTGTTTCAGTGTCTACTAGAATTTTGTCAAAAAAGAAAATGTCACTATAACTCTGTCAAACTAAGTACAAATTCAAGTAGGCATATTAGTTTCGGCTACAATTAGCACATGTGCTTCAATGATATTCTGAAAAGAAGAAGATATTCCCTTTGTTACTAAGCATCTGTTGTTATTTTTTTCGGGCTCAGAATGACTAATTCCGGTCACTCTCTCTCTTTCTACATGAAGAAACTGGGCGAGACAAGAATAGCACAGATATATATAATCTTAAATGCGAAAAACGTGCAGTTCTCGATGTTCTAAATCTATATTCTATTTTTTTTTGTCTATTTTGCATTCTAACACACTATATACCAACACAGAACGAATTTATAAAAATTCATTTATATATCAAAACACTTCCCATTACGTCAACGTAAACGAACTTCTCTCTGCGTCTGTTTATTACATTAATTTTATTATTATTTTATTATTTTTTTAAAACACAACTTTCTGAAATGTCATCGTTTAGTAAGTTTTTTTGCGTTTATTTGAAATAACTCTAAAACTGAGAATATAAGATCACAATGAATTAGAAGATTGAGAATCACATGCAGAGCATCTTTTAGAGCAGTGTAAATGATTCTCGTCTGCTCAACAGAAAAGAGCAAAGACTAGTTCAAACTTTTTGATAACACAGATTATTCTAGGAGACAAACACTGTTTTCTTGGTTAATGAATCAAGACGAAAGTGAACTTCCAGACGTTTATTCTTTGGGAAGAAGTTGATACGCAGTCGACGCTTTTTTGCACAACTGTATGTAACAGGACTGGCTGCATTTAGCAATATTGTTCGGTTGAATAGAATCTATATTCGCCTAGTTTCTGGAATTGAACTAAAAGTTTCAATTTTGTTACACATTCAATATGATGATTAGAATGTTGTCTGTACACATATATAGGATCCGAATCCGTTGACATTCGGACAGCGTTTCCGATATAGTTCTGACAGAAGTGTATGTAAAATTTAGCGAGGCACAAAATCTTTGTAAGTACATTTGTAAAACATTTGTAATGTACTACATCTTAGGATTTAGTACGATTTTATTATTTCTGAAAAAGCATCGCGCAGTGGAAAATTTTTGTTATATGACCCTCTATGACAAAAAAAAGAAAGTTGTACCACTAAACTTTGCTCAGTGGCATAAGTCTCTCTTACTCTTTCTTATTTTCAGTGACGCTTACTTTTATATTACCTAATCATTGTATTCGGATTTACCGAGCGATTTTTTTCGATTAATAGTTTCGACACATAGAAATAAAAGGTTTTTTTCTTCTTTACTTCCTAGGTACATTTCATTCTTCAAATGGAAGTAACAGTAGTGGTAGTGGTAGTATCGGCAATGGTAGTACTCAAATAGCCGCGAACGTTGTTCGAAATATTATGGAAAAAGTAATGGCCACCCCACCCACGACAAGTTCACGTTTTTTCAATGAATTTGACTATTTACAATCACCCATGACCGATGAATATGATAGTCCATTAATGCGTTTTGGTGGTGTACCAAACGATTCATCACAAAATATGTTGATGTTATTACAATCACGAAATAATGGTAATGGTAGTAATGGAGCAATCAATCATCGACAACATCAAATATTTCAACATGTAAGCGAGTGAAAAAATATCTGTAACAAAAAATGAACAATAGGTTTTAAACTCAAAGATAGAAACTTTTAAAAACAAATGGCAACCTTAATTAAAAAGGAAGTTATTTTTATAGCATTCTACTTTCAGTAGCTAGCTGCTTTCGTTCTAATTTTATTTATTGTAACTTTTTAGTCACTGTTTTCTTTTTCAATTGATTTTAGTCCGATAATTCATTTCAACAACATCAACGTCATCATAATGATTCGTCAATATCTGTTGATTTACTCTCATCGTCATTAGCATCAACGTCGATTAGTGGTGGAAGTAGTTCTGGTGGTATAATCGTTGGTGGTCAACGTAGTAATGGAGGCGATCGAGAAAGTGTAAATAGTCTTGGCCTCGATTCGAATAATAATAATAAAAAGTTTATTGCCAAAAGAGCTAATATTGATATGACCGATCATGTTATACAAGCAAGATGTTTGTATTTTATGTTAGGTAAAGTACATTTTGTTCAGACAAAATATTTTAATAATACTTAATAGCATCATAAATCTTGTTCAACCTTTTGCTAACGATCGGCAATAAGAATGCTGAAGTGTTGATTGACTTAATAATTTCTAACAATAAAAGCTCTTTTTTATTTTTATGAGCGATCTCAACATATGTAAAACATTTTTCTTTGCAATGTTTTAGGTATTAAAATGAAATGTAAATTTTGTTTTGAAAATGGTGAAGCATTCGAAGTCTATCGTTCTCATATGTTACGTAATGGTGCTGGGACAATATTATGCCCAATATTACGTGCTTATGTTTGTCCGAAATGTGGTGCTACTGGTGATTTGGCTCATACATTACGTTATTGTCCAATGCAAACACAATCAATGCCATTATTAAGAACATTAGATTAGACGCGTTATTAGAGAGAAGATACTCAGAGAACATTTAGTATGTATATACATATCAGATGTACATAGAAGAAAGTATTTTGGTTTTCTGTAAAGCGAATGTGCATTTTAATATGTATGTAAGAATGGTTGTGGGTGTTTGTTTGTTTCTTGATTGTTTCAATCATTTTCTCTTGCCTTTTGTGTAAATTTATTCGTCTCTCTCTTAATGATGACAGTAAAACAGTAATCTATCAATGAAACAGATAATAATTGTAGTTGTTAGAAATTTGTTGTTCATTATTTGTGTGTGTGTGTGTGTGTGTGTGTTATATTCTATTGTTGATGTAATCTTGTTTTTGCTCTCTTTTTTTGGTCTCATCTTCTCTTTCTTTCTCTCACTTTCGTTTGTTTTTTATTCGAAAACAAAATTGGCTAATTCTAATTCTAATAATTGTTTGGTGAAATTTTTTATGATTGTGTCGTTCTCATCTTTCGTTGTTTTATTTTTGTTAAGAAATAAGTAACAAAATAAACATTTATGAAACCCCGAAATGAACGAGAGAAAAAAATGATGGAAAAACATCAATGACTTGTTTATTGACAGTCATTGTTGATAAAAATGATGCAACAGCTTGGCAATTTCGAAACTAATTGAAAAATGTCTCGTGTGAATGTCTACAAGGTTGTGGGAATTTTAACAAGTAGATTGTGTATGCTCAACGTAAACGCTTGCTATCTACTATGAAAAATTGGCTTCAAACTTCATATAATTTTCTTATTATTTCTCCTACTTTTGGTCGATTTTGCTATTGTTTCTGAAAATTTTAGAAAGTATTAAGAAAATCTAATAAAGATCGATAAACTTTATTAAGCAGTAGCGTAAATGGAATTTAGTATCGCTAGAAAAATTTGCTCTTCACTCGATAGACAGGAATTCTTTCCCTAATGTCACAACTCATATGCAACAGATAACTGCTTTTTAGATTTATTATTCTTATCCCATCTAACTTGTGCGTACATGCACTAAATTTAGTCAAATGAATGATGGAGGATTTTTGGTGATTAGTATAAAACTCTTTCGTTATCCGTTTAAAAACTGAAATGTTTCAGATAAGAGAGAGGTACATTTCATCTGATAGTTGTAGGAGAGTGCCTAATAAATCAACAATGACTGGCTGTATCACTCATTCAGATACATGGTTGAAACAAGGTGTATTAGAGACTACATTCAAATCTACATTATGCCAAAGTGGTAATCTTGATTACTGAAATCAAATGAACAATATAGGCACCAATAGACGAAATAAATGAAAACATAAATCGCCAGAAAATTCGGCATTCAAGAAAACAAAGTACGCCATCTCATATAGTGTCACACAGCGACTTTTTATGACGACATTCGTCTTATTTACGCGCCGGTTTTCGTTAAAAATGAGTCAAAATCCGTAGGTATCTTCTCAAAAGAGATACAAGTTCGTTTTAATTGGCCTTGTAAGATCAAATAACATCAAAGGCGACATCCAAAGTTAGTGTACGTTTTCGATAATATATATTAAAAAGTATCTCTTTTGATACGTAACCGTCAGAATGACTTTAATATCGTATTCCAAGTGTTTTGAAAAAGCTGGAAACGAAAAGGCATTCTATGAAAGATACATCAGGACTAATTACGCATAACGAACAGCTGCATCTAAACATTATTTTTTTTTTATTTGAATAAATATTTCAGAGTATGTATGTATATCTACATGACTTGGCAGAATTGTCTACTGCACAATGAACTAGATCCTAGTAAATTTTTGTTATTCATGAGTAAAGTCTTAATAGTTTTTTCAGATACCGAAATATTACATCTTTTTTAAAAACAGTTTCAGAAACAAATGCAGATTAAAAATATTGTACATCGAAGAGAAGAGACTGAATTCTGATGAAAACTTTGATAATGGTGGCCCCTAATGTGAGTGTTTTTTGTGTAAGCTTAGTCTTGCGATACACCTAAGTTATGAACATACGATCATTCTACTATACGTTATATTTTTATAAAAACTATCTTTGTTTCAATTTGAGACCGTATCTGCTCAGCAGTCAACGGTTGACTACATTTGACAAGAAAAATTAGAATATCTGTATGTAGACACAATCATGTTTTGTATCTAATAGTAAAATGCATTTTCGAAAAGGTATATACTAATGAATTTAGTTGTATTGATATGTTTTGACATTCATATCAAATTTTTCATATTTTATCAACAACATACAGTCTTAAGATCGAAAAATGTTACCATCAACGGTCATTTACCCAGTGGATGAACCAAATGGGTAGCGTCTCATCGGTGTTTAAGTTTGTCGGCAGAAAACAATACCATCAAAAAACAGATAAAAAGACTGGTATATCGTTTGAGGAACCTATAGAACTATAAATTTATCGTCAGAATATTTTTTTAACCATTTTCATCGTGTACTGATATTTCAGCAGTGCTTTCCAACACAGTTAAGCATGCATTTCTAGACAACTATTACATAACCGGCCTCCTTCCATTCTCCTTTTTCCTCTCTGAGATCATCTTTTTTTTTATGCTCTTATACTTTCTTTATTTGCTTTTTTTCCTAGAAATTCTAAAGAAAAGCAAATAATCAGAACAAATCAATGGAAATTAGCTTAAAAGAATATGTTATTAAAAAAATTATACACTTCGCGTAGATAACAAGCGTTTAAATGAGCGTGTATGAGTGAGTGCATAGAGCATAATACATGAGTGCATTGAGCAAAATACGCATTTTGGTTATAAAATGTGAAATTAAACCCCCAAATTGAACCATAGAGTTGCAAAACTAACTTGAGTTTTTAGAACAGACAATTCTACACAAGATAAAATCGTTTTGAGAATTTTGAAAGTTTTAGCAGGCATTGAAAAATGTGATAAAAAGTAGACAGGTGCGTGTAAATCTAATTCTTAAAAACGCAGTTCTTGAGCAAAAATAGAGGGTCTAAGTGTTCGAAAACTTATTTCTCAAGCCCAGAAATGTGTGCTGAATCG